TGAAAAATGCACAAATGTCAGGACATGTCAGAATCTCTTCAGGGCTCCAAAACACCTTCAGACTCCTAAGGGTTAAGTGTAAGGCTCACACGGGGTGCTCTGACCCGGTCAGCATTGGTAACTCCTGGGCCGATTGGTGGGCTAAGAGGGCAGCCTTACACACTGATGCCCCAGTGGCGCTCATGCCTTCACGGGTATTACATGACACTCACACCCTCCTTGATGTCCAGTCGGGTGTGACAGAGGGGGAACTGGGGAAGTGGAAGAAAGATGGTGTGAAAGGGCCAGATGGGCTATGGAGACAGAGGGAGTTACCATTCATTCCAAAATCGGCATATCAGGGCCTGGCCCGAATGACACATGGATTAGACCATGCTTCAAAAATGGCCATGGTAGAAATGCTGGCCAAAAGGTGGGCTGCACCAGGTTTTTCTGCCTATCCGTTACACAATCAGTAACAAAACCTTCAGAAGGTCCGTTTCGGCATTTACAAATGGACTTCATTGAGCTCACCCCATGTAGGGGATACAAGTACTGTCTAGTGATCATAGATCTATTCTCCAGGTGGCCGGAAGTTTTTCCATGTCGCAGAGCAGATGCCCTGTCAGTTGCAAAGAACCTCCTTCGGGAGATACTACCTAGGTGGGGAGTACCAGGAAAATTAACTACGGATAATGGTTCCCATTTTGCAAATCAAGTCATTCGTCACCTAGGTCAGTGGCTGGGGATTGATCTAAAGCACTACTGTGCTTACCACCCGCAGAGTGGTGGAATAGTGGAAAGAGCAAACCAGACGATTAAAGTAAAATTGGCGAAACTGTGTGCTGAAACTGGACTTGACTGGGTGACTGCCTTACCTCTTGTTCTCACGGCCATGAGGGGAAGAACACATAGTGGAACGGGGTTAGCTCCATTTGACCAATGCCGCTCCCATACCCGGGAGGCATGCTCACGTTAGAAACTGTTGATGGCGATTTACTAACCTATGTGTCTAGTTTACAGATTTCCTTGAAGAGGATCCATAGCCAGATCAGGGCTGCTCAGGTCGGACCGGAGCCAAATCAGCCAGAGACCATAGTCTGCTTTGCCTGTTCCCTGTGTACTACAAGGGTTGGAGGGTTGTGCTGGTTGCGGCAGCATTACACATATTCCCCAAAAATTATGTTTATGATCTAACGTCATCTGACCTTACGGTCTTGCAATGAATGGGTCATATTAGGTACGGTGATGAAATTTAACAGTTGCATTGTCTCGCACCGTGTCACAGCAGCAACACTAAAATAATATAACTACCCAGACAGTACACATGTATTGGCAACAATGTCTCTGCGATGCTTGAAAATCCATCGGTTATCTTGCAGAGACATTGCTATTGAATATTGATTCTAAATTCCCCTGATGTCTGTGTTTCAACAGCAGCATGACGTTAATGTGATCACTATGATATGTTTAGCCTACTGTTACTTCTCCAGCTATACAGGCCATATAACCCATAACTAGCTTATACTAGGGGTGTGACGATACACTCAGCTCAGGAGATGAGACAATACATGATACTGGGTTCATGAAAATGAGGTGAGACAACATTTTAACAATTTTAAACTGCTAGATTAGATTTAACTAGATTAAATATATGACTGGAAAAACAGCCTTTTATTTGACTGAAAGTCATAAAATGCTAAACAATGCAAGCACATTTTGAAGTGTTCATCTTGTAATGAATGTGACTTAAATTTTACTTTGAATTATTGAGTATGAATTATCATATGCGGTAAAAGGTTTTGCCACAAATTCAGCTGACTGGCATCTCTCCTGTATGATTTTGCATGTGTCTCTTCAGATCTTATGACTATGCATGAACTATACATGAGCTTCCAACTTCTATTTGAAGCAGTGTGTGACCTTCTAACTGAACTCCTTTCCACAACCTTTTCTTAGTCTTATTATTTTAAGTGCAAACAATAAGTACAAACCATAATCAAAGTAGTACTCTGTGAATGCTCAAAGTGTAAAAAGAAATTGACAAAAGTTTCTTCAAGCATGATTCTTTTTAAGGAATAAAATCATGTATATGTTTTCTGGCAGCAGTTGAGACCTTTGGGTGCTGGGTCTCCTGCAGTTGAAAAGACAGATTTGCTTGGGACCTGGGTAGCAGGGATGGAAAGTATGCTTTGGCAAGGGGAGACAGCAAAGGAAATTGAGTGCATTTTTCTCTCCACCAAACAGTGGGATAGAGGCCTCTTTTCTATTGTATTCAATTTCCATCTGGATCTGTTATGTAAGAGGGGACGGACAAGGTGAAATACACTGAAAGACTCGCACCCACACACACTACTTGCACATATACAGACACAGACACACACCCATGAAAGACTAATGTGCTCGCACATACACACTACGTGCACGTACGGAGAGTGTGAAAGACAGAGTGCGGGTACTGGTGTGTGTGTGTGACAGTTTTCAGTTTGCCTGGAAGTCATTTCATTGTAACAGGAAGGAGCGCTGTTTGTGCATATACTTGGCTATTCATTTGGTGGTTAAATACCATAATGGGGAACAGCAGTTAGCCTACAGCTGAGGCGGCCGCAGTGCTGCATAATTTACTCTCTTCCCCTGTATTAATTAACTCCATTGCAAATTCATTTAAGAGGAGTGTTTCAGCACTTCTACGGTATATACATCCAATGAAATTGAATCAAAGCAGTTTGTTCCAACCTACATCGTAGAATATAGGGCCATGGAATACAGCAGCAGCTCAGCCCAGCACATCGGCCACACACACGCCTCCCCAGCCGGTCACGGCGTTAGCTTTCCAGTCGCAGTCTACAGTATATGCTCTCAGACACAACAGCTATACTGGAAGTGGGGATCAAAAGTAGAACGACTTTCACTATAACTAACGGAATCACTGCTATCTGTTGGCTAACTGTTGCTATCTTTTTTTTTTGTTTTTGTGCAGAAATGTGGACATTGCATTGTCGTTAAACAGATTCATTGCTTGCACTGCTACACCCTTAATGGTAATGAGATTTGCAAGTGTACTGAGTTTTGTATGTGTGTGGACAAATCTTTAAATGCATACACACAAGAATTTGTGAATGTGGAAGTTTCTTGTTTTCCTAATGTTTTAATAGAGTAAATACAAAATGCATGGACGAAATAGTCATAATTACAGTTTTTCTCAGTTGCTTTGGTGCATTTCTCACAACAGAATTAAACTTTGCACAACAGTTAGTTCAACCTCCACAACATGTAGTCGTTTTGGCACAACCTAGTGGCGGTTTCATGTTCATTTCGTCCAAAGGCAAATGCCTTTGGACATGAAGCAGTTGAGTAAGTACAAATATCTAAAGAATGGTCACTTTTGACTTGCTATTCATCACTATCTCCTTGCTTTTATCATGAATGTCACAATTATTTATACTTGTACCGGCTGAATAGTCATTGTCCTTACAACTAATAGTCTTCATTTCATTGCTTGTGTCATTGCACTCAAAATTGTTGAACATCTTGTCAAACAATTTGGTGACAATCGGACAATGTATGTAGTGGTTTGGGATAATGTTAGCTTCCATCACTCTGCTGTAGTCAGGCAGTGGTTTGCAGCACACGACAGGATGCTTATGGAGTTTCTTCCTCCTTACACTCCATTCCTAAATCCAATTGAGGAGTTTTTCTCTTCCTGGAGGTGGAAGGTATATGACAGGCATCCACATACCCAAATGACCCTGCTAGCAGCTATGGATGCAGCTTGTGATGACATCACAGCAGAGTCCTGCAGAGGGTGGATTCGACACTCCAGAAGATACTTTCCCCGATGCATCGATAGAGCTGACATTCGCTGTGATGTTGATGCAAATATGTGGGCAGACAGACGGGAGCGTCTAGATATCAATGATTGATATGCAGCAGTGTCTGTTTTATAGTTTTTTTTTTGTTTCATAACTACTGCAGTAAGGTTTACTGTCTAAGTGAGTTTATGTTTGCTGTAAAATGTTTGTTTTACTGTATTTCCCCAGTTGCACAATGCTGTGAACAGTTTCAATTAAATATTATCAAGAGTGCATATGAAGTGTCTTGATTTTCCTTTACAATTTATGGTTTTCAACATGCCATGCATGCTGTCCAGACTTGACATGTCATTGGGAAGCACCTACAAAGAAATCCGTCACAATGAGAACATGTTCAAACCATTTGATTTTGTGACCAAAGGTGCTGGTGTAATGACTTGTAATTGTGACAGCCCTGACACTTTGATTGATATAAGTACTTGCTTTTGATGAATATATTATCTGTTTTGATTAAGGGACTTGCTTTTGAAGCATTGACTACTTATTTTGAGCAACTGACTTGCTTTTGAACAACTGACTTTTCTTTTTGATGAAGTGACTCACTTTTGCAAGTTATCCACCATGTTTTGCAGTTTGCACTAATTGTTTTGAGAAGAGCCTTAGTAGTGGTGCAGAGATCAATTCTGTTGTGAGAAATGCACCAAAGCAACTGAGAAAAACTGTAAGTTGATCCAATTATCCTATATACTTATAATAAAACTAAACACCTAGCAAGGAGTGAGTGTCAGTGTGATGTGAAATAGAGGTGCAATAAGACAGGTTTTGGTATGATTGTTAATGCTGTCGATCGGCACAATCCTGAGGAGGTTAGTCGTCACATGAAATAAGAGGGTGTTTACATGAGTGTCTGAGATTAGACAGACAGACAGACAAATTAGATAGATAGATAGATAGATATAGAGATAGATAGATAGATAGATAGATATAGAGATAGATAGATAGATAGATAGATAGATATAGAGATAGATAGATATAGAGATAGATAGATATATAGAGATAGAGATAGATAGATATAGATAGATAGATAGATAGATAGATAGATAGATAGATAGATAGATAGATAGATAGATAGATAGATAGATAGATAGATAGTTTTGGTGTTGTTTTCCTCCATGTACTGTACTCCCATTCTGCGCTAAGTACGCCTCCGGCTCAAATTACAGTTTCTCTTTCCCCTGGTAAACTACATTCCAAACCTTTTCATCTATTATAAAAGATTAACAAAGACGATTTAACGCAGAGAGTATTCAGTTTGGACCGCAACTTCATTTTCAGATTTTGGATAGCATAATAATTGCATCTATAATACAATATATACAGTATATTTTACTTTATATTATTTTAAAGCGTTTGATCAAAGGTAAGTTTCTTTTCAGATCGTTTAATGGAAACAGCTGTTTGTGTTATGCGTGTAATGTAAATATTAACATGTTAGAAAATATATAACGCAATATGGGTTTTGAAAGCTTTCTGTTTGGTGAATGTTTCATGCAAAATATTATCTGTTTTGGATGATAATCCAGCAAAGTACAATAAAGCCGATTATATAAAATACTCACACATCCAGAGAAAGGGTAGGAGATCGATTTTTTAAACCCAGTTATAGTGTTAGCGCACCGCCATGGTATTGCAGTGTACACGACTCAAATTGCACTGCGTGTTGTGTCTATCTCAGATATTTTCATATGCCGCTGCAGAAGCAATTAGGTTCTTCACAACAAAAACTTACATACAAGTTAATTTCACAAATTTACTACAGATTTCACAAGTGCCAAGGTACTAGGATATGTGTAGGATTTCTTGTGTTCCTTACCACAAGCGGAAATGTAGAATGCCCTATGTCGCGGACTGACGGAATCCAACCGAATGCGTTAATGCAGCTCCTGTTGTATATGTTATTTTGCATTTTCACAATTTATTGGATGAAGTAATTGAAAATCCAACTTGTGCATGTAATTTCACAAACACACACGAATTTGTGAATGTGGAAGTTTCTTGTTTTCCTAATGTTTTAATAGAGTAAATACAAAGAAGATCTGCGAATGTCTGGCAAATGTCGAACCCACTGCTAACTTTACTCCGGTTACAGACCGTACGCTTCACGGTTGAAAAGTTTGGTCAGTGAGATTTTTCTATTTGAGACAAGTCTGCACACACATGTACTGTATATGTATTCAAGAGTCTGATTACCTTGTAAATAGTATGTAGGGTTTGCAAACTGCTCCAACGCTTCTGATGTAGCTAATTTTAGATTGAGATTTTAATATAGATTTGCCGTAAGATTTCTTGCGTGAGCATGAGAGTCTGACAGCGTGTGTGTCACGCCAACAGTGGCATCTTTGGTACAGAAGGCCTGGTGGTGCACAATAAACAAACATTAACATGCACATTACTTGCACAGTGAATCCTAATACAAATGCACCTCATTAATTAAATCTCAAGCACGAATTAATGTAACAGGGGCAGCAGTAAGCAGTTAAGACGGAGATATGAGAGGCATTAACAATAATGGCATTTGAGCTCACTGAACTGGTATATTACCCTGTTATACCGCATCGAATTACAAATCCAAACTTAAGCAGTAAATGATCCATATTATAACACATCCAAAGGAACATTTAAGAGTAGGGTAATCCAGTGGTTTAAGACCCTTAACTTACAGTCAAACCAACCTTGCAATAATGTAAAATAGACTCACCAGTGACGTTCACTGCTTGAAAAAGAAAAACTGCATGACGATCTTTCATTTGGACAAATTTTAATAATTTTTTCCTAATGGCAAACTGCTAAATCTAACTTTGAATAATTTGTGCACCACTGCTAGTGGTGGTTTAATATATATCACATGCAGCTAAAGTTATTCTCAGGGGTTTGGGTAGAAGATTATGCCTCTTTACTTTAGCTTCTATTGATGAAGATCGATTTGGCTTCCTGAGAGGTAAAAGGACAAGAGAGGCAATTGGAGTGATGGGGGTATTAATAGAATGGAACATTGAATTTAAGAAAGATGTTTTTGCCTGCTTTATAGACTTTGAACTGTTCAATGCCTCAGATTTATGGAAATATTAAAGGATATTGGTATAAATTGGAAAAATAAGTGCTTTGTTCAACACTTGTATCTAAATCAAATTGCTCAAGTAAGCATGGCTGAAGGAAATTCAGACTAGGCAGTGATAGGAAGGGAAGTAAGACAGGGTTGTGCTTTATCTTCAGCACTTTTTAATATATATGCTGAATAAATGGTAAAACAAGCATGGGAAGAAATTAATGAAGAAGCGAAGGTACCGGGAAGATGATATAGTCCAGGGGTGGCCAATCTTATCCGCAAAGGGCCGGTGTGTATGCAGGTTTTCCGGCCCTTTGCGGATAAGATTGGCCACCCCTGATATAGTCAGTCAGATTTGCAGATGATAAAGCTCTTGTAAACAACTCAGAAAAAAGGTTTACAGATGTTAGTCAGATATTTAAATTGTCACGGCGATTAGCGCCTGGAGCGTGGACAAACGCACTGGAAGCCAGGAATCAGGAAACACGGGGTTTAATCGCACGAAAGGCAGGCAATAACACATTGACAATACAATGACCAGACTGGGGAAACGAACGGAAACACGGACTAAATACACTGGACTAATGACAGCAATTAGAAACAGCTGTTAAACACTGGGAATCCACATGAGGTTAACGAGGGGGGGCGTGGCACAGAAGGATCGGCACGATCGGGGCGTGACATAAATGATAAAGCAAGGGAGTTTGGGATGAAAATTAACATGAAAAAGACTAAGGTTATGAGATTTACTAAAAGTAAAAAGCAAAAGTAAATGTAAGGATGGAAGGGGAAACACTGGAATAGGTGGAGCAGTTTTCTTATTTGGGAGGTGTTCTAACTTGGGATGGAAGCCTCCTTTGCTAATGCTATCCTTGTTCTGATATCTTTCGTACGGGTTTCATGAAACGGAGGGAATTGATGACAAGGGGCCTTAATAAAGATATTAGAAACAATTTGATAAAAACTTTGGTTTGGACTGTATTCTTGTGAACCTTGGACTATAAGAGGTGGAGATTTTAAAAAACTGGAAGCTTTTAAGATGTTGGTTTGGCATAGATTAGAAAAAGTAAGTTGGATGAATAGAACAAATGAGGAAGTGTTAAATATGGTAGGAGAGGAAAGAGTATTGATTAGGGAAATAAAGAAGAGGTAGAGAAAGTGGGTGGGAGAAATTTTGAGAGGGGAGGGATTGCTGAAAGATGGGATAGAGGGAAGCATGTTTGGAAAAGACAAAGAGGAAGGCAGAAAAATGTTATTGGATGAAATTAAGGAAGGGAACAGATATCAGGAAGTGAAAGAATACCGTAAGGTAGAATACTGTGATAATGAGGGGTGGCTAACATAACATCGATGTTGGTTGAAAAGTGCAATGACATCTTGACATAAGTCAGATCAATTAGCGTTACATTTTACTGCCTACTACCAGCAGGGGCCATCTTGATCATGCCCCACAGCGCGTTGAGCATATGCACACAGTTGTCAGCTGCTCACTTCCTTAAACAGACGCTGACGGAACAGCCCCATGCACACCAAATGCAACAGATATAGCAAGATATTTGGAGAGAATGGCATTGCTATGTCATATGTAATAAATGCACAACAATATTACTTAGTTGTGAATAAAAATATATATTTAGACAATTACTGTTCATGTTGTGCACTGCTCAACAGCGACATCTGGTGGGGTCTGGCCCCACCACCCCCTAATGTAGAGATGACACTGCACGCAAGATGGGTGACAGTTGGAAACCCTGATCCTTTTTACCCTCCAGGAAAGAGCTTTAATTACTTAGTTTCTCATCTCCTTGTTAAACTACATTCCCAAAACTGGATTTCTTTTGTGTTTTTTTTTTGAATGATTAATAGAGAAGATTTACCACAGAAAATTCAGCTTGGAGCACTAAGTGTGCATGGTTAATAACTGAAAAGACCCTAATTGTAAGCGTGATAACCGGTGTCCAGCGAGGAAGCAGGAAGCGGGGAATCACGGGTCAGGCAGACAATGATTCCAAAATACGGGGGTTTTAATGGGGATAGAACGGATTATACGGGACAACATGGTACAAACGTTAATAACAGATCTGGGTAAACTGACTTGGACGCAGACTTAAATACACAGGACTAAACAGGCACAACGGGAAACAGCTGGTTACAATTGGGGTTTCACACGAGGTGAATGAGGGGGCGTGTCACACAGGAGGATCGGACAAGCAGGGCATCACAGTAAGTTATTACTCATCGATGAAATACAGTAACCCCTTGACATTCGCGCATTTGACATTTGCAGTTTCGGTTATTCACAACTTAGCAGTGAACAATTAGAGTGGACGTGAAACACAAGATCTAGTCAGTATAATTTACAAGATGGATTCCCACTCCTTATACAGTATGTTTAATACTGTTGGTGAAACTAGATTAAACAGGAATATTTTTGGAGCTTGCTGAAAGTTCGCAGAAACTCGCAGAGGACATGTAAGCCAAAAACTTGATTCGGATCGCATAAAATCATGTAATATATAAATATTAGTGATACATAATATTTGCAAGTGTAGGTACATACTATATCTTTAATATTAATAGTTAATGCTTGGGTACTCTGCGTATCCTTCTCTTAGCAACCAGCATCACTCATGTGTATCTTCATTTGAGACCATGAAATGTCAGGTTTCTTGCAGTAACCTTTGAACCAGGGGTCACCAACTCCGGTCCTGGAGAGCTACTATCCAGTAAGTTTTCTATCCTACCTGGCTTCTGATGAGCCACACCTGCTCCTGGTATTTACCTGAGAACTAGTGTGGCAAATCAGAAGCCAGGTAGGATAGAAAACTTACTGGATAGTAGCTCTCTAGGACCGGAGTTGGTGACCCCTGCTTTAAACAGTGCCATTAATTTTGCATTTTTAATAATGGGTACTAAACATAGTGCTCAGGGTTGCCAACTCTCATGCATCTGGCGTGACATTCAGGCTTTCAGACATACATACTTACACAAGAAATCTTATGGCAATTCTATATTGTTCCATTGTAAACTTAAAATTACCTACATCAAAAGCGTTGCGGCAATCCCTACAGGCAGGGGCGGATTAAGGTGCACAGAGGCCCCTAGGCTACAGTAGTCTGTGGGCCCCCCAACCCCGCCCCCCTCTGCGTCAATAGGGGCCCCCTTGCAGGCTGGCACATGTGGGGCCCCTAGGCTTAAGCCATATCTAGCCTGTGCGTTAATCTGCCCCTGCCTACAGGCTACGTACAAGGTAATAAAACCAGTACATATTTGTAAATGTGTGTGCAGACTTGAATTTCTTGAATTGAAAATCA